TAACAGAGGAATTTGTTTTGAAGAATATTCTTTGCAAAAAAAAAAAGAAAACTATGATTTTACATGTAGTATTATTCCCTCCTACAAAAACAGATATGATATATAACTTAAATTACTTATAACTAAAATGACTACACACATACTCTTGTTTTTCTACAAAGTTGACAATGGAACTAGCTAACAGATTTTAATCTGCCTCTTCGATGCTGTGTATCTCAATAATCGTTTAACTTATAGCTAGATAACTTTTGCTATATTGCTAACTAGCTTGCATCTCTGTAACATTTTAGCTTTTAGCTAAATTGTACTTTATAGCTGCTAGCTTTAATTAGTTTGTCACTTTTAACTCTGTGTACTAGCTTAGTGTATCGATAACATTTTTCATTAAGCTCTTTTGACTTATCAAAGTTTCATCTCTTATGCAGCCTATTCACTGCTATATGCGTCTCAAACACTAGTATATATCTTTTTTCCTATGACTATTGAGAGTATTGACATAGCTGGATTAGTCAATTTTTGTCTGTTATATTAAATATACAAACCAATCATGAACTCATACAAAATTAATAATATCATACATTAAATAAACTATATTGTAAAATTAAATTACTATGCACACTAAGTAATTTAACTACATAGTTCAATATTATATCACATGATTAATTATATCACATAATTAAAGGAAATAATACTCCCTCCGTCCCACTTTAATTGTCCTCGTTTTGGTGAGTCACGGTTCCCAAAACGAGAACAATTAAAATGGGACGGAGGTAGTAATATTTAGGAGAAGACTTTGCTTCCTTAAAGCTTTGTTGAGCATTCTCCAATAAACATGTTACAAAATCAGTACCAAAAGATTTAAATGTTCTAGCCCTCCTGCTAATTCTAAGCGCATCCTTATTTTTATTGTATAATTTATGTACAAGAAAACGATATGTAATACTGTTATGAGCATAACCTATTAAAGGTTTTATATGACGATCAACTCCACTACATGGTATGATATTGTCCGTTTTGGGGCGAGCCCCCATAGTTTTGTTCCTGGGTTTTATTCCAAAAGGTCTCATACCAATTAAAAATGACACAACTCCATAAAAGTACTTCACTTTTTCCTTACCTAGGCGATGTGGGACTGTGTACTTGTAACTCGCCTAGTGTAATAGTTTGTTAATGCCTCTTGCACTAGCCCATAACACACCCACCCACAAGGTCACCACATTTTAGGTCCCATTTTAACTTTCTTAGGAGTAGGAACTGCAACCTTAGTTAGACACCCCCATACTTTTAAGAATTTATGGGAAGATTTTCGACCTTTGCATAATTTATATGGTGTCACACTAGTTTTCTTTTGAGGTATTTTATTGAAAACATAATTTGCAAAAAGCAAAGCTTTCCCACCACAAATTTTGAGTTAAACCAAACCTTATTAACATAGCATTCGTCATTTCTTTTAAAGTACGGTTTTTGCGTTTAACAACACCATTCTGTTGAGGTGTATATGGAGCGGTAGTTTTATGAATGATACCGTGTTCTGAACAAATATCAGCACATGGTGTTTTGTATTCACCACCTCTATCATTTCTTAACACCTTGATCTTTTTACCAAATTGATTCTCAACCTCATTTTTGTAATGTTTAAACATTAATAAGGTTTCATCGTTCTTTCGTAGCAAATATACATAACAGTATTATGTGTAATCATTGAATGAAGTACATTTTTCCACCTCTAGTTGGCACATGTTTAAGGTAATATAATATGCTACATAATATCATATTAAAAAATTAAAATAATTCAATCAATATTGAATTAATAATCTACTTATATAACATACTTCAATTTCACATAATATTTAACAGATAAATATTTAGCATATTATCATGTAATAATGCTTATAACATTATTTTATTATATCTCAGTTATTAGTATAATATCTACTTGTTTATAGCTTAAATAGAAGCATATAATAAAATTTACACAATGAATAAATTGTCTTAAAATTGTTGAAAAATATATACTTCTTATGATATTTAAGATATAGCTAACCTTATATTAATATGCCATCAGATAATTAATAATATGATAAAAATAATTAATTAAATATGTAACTCGATATTTAATTAAATATTCAAATTAAAGTAATAAAATAATAATTACTAAATAAAGAACCTGGACCGAGACTAGTATTGGATACTATGTCTTTAAGACAATTTACGTCCCACATGGTGCCGACGGACTTTATTACGTTTGTTTCCCGAGATACAACGGTTTACATCTACCAGTAGCAGCCCTTCAAACTCGTGGATACGACGAACCTCCTCTGTGTAATACTCTTTCTAACTCAAAAATGCATCTATACTATATAAATAATGAATTGGGTGAAATCCGAAACAAATGGCTCAAAACAATTTTAATATGGCTCATTCATATTGTTCCTGGGTCTAAGTAGCTTGAACCACTTAACCTATGGCTTGAACCTACACACACTTGGGTTGGGTTCATGTTATAAGAGAGAGAAGAATGGAAAGTGAACCAATTGAAATGACAGCCAAAAGTGGGTATTTATAGAGTAACTGGTGCCTCTTCGTAGTTTGACGTGTCCCTTTATTGGCATCCCACACTTATTCATTTGGGTTGCAATGGTTCAAACATAAGTTTGGGTTGCATCTCTTCCTTTCACAACCCTTTATAGCACCTTTTAAGTGCAATGCATCTCTTAACAATACGGTTAAATATCAATTACATTCACAATTTTTGTCTCAACAAAATACATGTTTAAAGGACAATCGAAGTTTCCTTAAATGTGTAGTTTATTATTGTTCATGTCACTACATGTAAGTGACCTTCAGACCTTGCAGAGTTGACATTCACGTTGCTGTCTAACATAATATACATAGACGCGTTGCAGACAAGTTTCATTCACATATTCCAACAATTTGTCGTGTCTAAATAGAGATTATAGCAGCATAATAGATACAATGTTGCACTAATTATAGAGAATCATGCCACTAATTACCATCAACTCATTGTATCAACTCATACATAGAAAAAAATCTCGTTTATTTGGCAGCAAGGTTCAATTGCAAAAACCTTAGTTATTTTCAAAAGAAACAACTAAAAATGTCATTATTATTATTATTATTATTATTACTCCATCCGTTCCAAATTAAACGTCTTTTTTGGGAATCTAACTTTTTAAGAGGATGGGGTTTTAGTATTTTTTTATTATAGTGGTAATGAATGAATTACCAAAATATTCATAGTGGGTCCATAAGAATATGATTGTTATGCAAGAAGGTTAAATGTTAAAAAATAAAAAATAATAAAAATAATAAAAGAAAAAAATAATAGTATTTTGACTTTTCAAATGAGACATTTATTTTGAAATAGCAAAAAAAGAAGAAGATAGATTTCTTTTTTTTTTAGGACAGGTGGAGTATTATTATTATATTATTATTAGGATAAAGTGCAAAAACCCCATATTATATACAAAAAATTCAAATACTCTCCCTTACATTTTTCAGATTGAGCATATAAAGACAATTCTTCAATTTGGAGACCTAAAGACAAAATAAATAAAATTAAAATAATAAAATAAGGGCATCTTTTTAAAAAAATTATAAAAACCCCAAAAAAGTTATTTTTAAAATTTTAAGATTAGTTTTTTATATATTAAAAAAATGAAATTCTTAAAATTACAACAATAAAAAAAATCAAGACTTTTCTAGACATTCTATCAAATCCAATCACATTCGATCCTCCCAATCGTACTTTTGTTAGGTTGCTCGTCTTCATTTCTTTCAGCCTTTCAATCCTCCCAAGCATTCCCATCAAATCACAGGGTTGCAAGAGATTATTGTATAAAATCAACATTTGAAGATATGAAAAGTCATTTAATACATAATATAGTACATACCTCATGTACTACACAGTACATACCTCATTAATTAACAGGGCCCCTATATATAACCAAAATATTAGGGTTGTTACTTCTTTCTTACATGCCACAAAAATTATTTACTACGTAGAATTCTTGTATGTAAGCCTCTTCTTTTTAGTGATAACAGCATTAGAAACAGAAGAGGTTTTTATACACATTTCGGTTTCTTAATTAATTCTCTCTCTGTCTACTTCCTGCATTCTTTTACAACAAGAAGACACATCCCCCTGTAAAAAAAAATGAATTTTGAAAAAACAAATCAGAGCATGATTAGATACGAGAATTTTGACTTTTTAAAAAGGTAATTAAAAAAATTTTAAGAGTAAAAGAGAAAAAAGAAAAAAAAGTTTAAAAAAAATTTGAAAATTAATAATTTTAGGAGAACATAATATACTAATTTTTATATATACATGTAAAAAAATAAAATAAAAATCATATATACACCTAGGGCGGGCCAGGGGGCATCTGCCCCCTCTGGGCTCACACGGCTTTGCCCCTAGTTCAGCGCTGGTGTATTCACTAGGAGAGCGTCCTCATAGTTAAATTTTTGAAAAAAAATGCATGATTTTAAAGTCTAGCTAGGGTTTGTAGAGAATTTCACAACCTATCGTCAATCAAGAAATTCTGTCCAACTTGTCCGCCTGGGTAGCACTTTCCATCTTTAAAAAGCACATCTCAGCATTTTTCAAATCAAATCCTAAACTCTCCCACGTGAAAGAAAAGAAAGCAAATTCTAGCGATATTTGTGGGATGTCACGTTCAATGGAAGTTTTCGTTGTGTACGATTGCAGAAGATGTTTTGGTACACAACGGAAACTTGGACCGTGTAAGGTCCTCTCAATTATGGATGGAGACTTTAAATTTGAAGTGGACCCCATTACAATGCATCTAAACTGTTCTGTTTCTGATGATTGGTTAAGCTTTCCCTCCTTTGGTTTTGGAAGAATGATATATATATATATATATATATATATATATATATATATATATATATATAAGTAAGCAATTGTTATTGTGATGTGTGTGCAAACATTTGGTTGTATGTAGAAATTCTACATAAATTTACAAAGAACTCACAATTTCAAGGAGTCCATTGAAAGACAAGGCATTGATCTTAGACTCCAAAGTCTGTCTTGTTAATTTTTGATCCAATGCAACTAATGCCGCAGCCACGGCAATGACAGACGGTCGATAGTCCTTGAAATTCACATCTGAATATAAGATCAATATATGTAATTAAATTACAACAAATTATGTTTGTGTTCGGCTGCATGAAATTTGAATTTTAAAATTATGGAATTGGAAAAAATTTTACTCCGTAGTTTAAATTTAATTATTTTTTCTTGATTTCAATTCCAATTCCATATAGCTAACATGGTTGATTATATGAAATTGAAACTTTGAATTAAAGTTGGTGGAATTAAAAAAAATCTTATGCACAAAATTGAATTAGAATTTTTTTCAATTTCAAAACTTCAATTACATGCAACGAAACGTGACCAAAGTGAAATTTGATGGCATCAACCACAAATTACCTCTCATTATAGCCAAAATGAGTTCCACAGTTCTGGACACAATGTTCCTTGGTGGACGGTCCTTGCACAACTTAGTGATGGATGTGATGAAATAATGTACATAAGCATATGGAGTCACTGAACCCATCTTCCATTCCAATGTATTCAACACCAAAAGCTCCATTCTCTGAATCACTTTGCTCTCAAACCGGTTATCTTCTCCCGGAAACTCCGATAGCGCGGGAACTGTACATTCTTCCTCCATCTTTGCCGCCAACGACAGACACGCCACCGACAGCAATCGAATCGCCCAATGTTTCTCGTTCTATATATATATATATATAATGTTACATATTTCAAGTGAAAACTAATATTGTGTATATATAATGTTACATATTTAAAGTGAAAACTAATATTGTGAGTGTGTACGCGTTTACTAAGCATTTCCAAAAAAGTAAAAATAAATAAATAAATGAAAACTTACTTCAATCACACGCTTGGAAAGGAAGCGATCGAAGTAATTAACGGATAAAAAAGCTGTCTGGAAGCGAAAACCAAACAATGCCCGTGTCTGCATATGAATATGAATATACAGATGATTACAAACAGAGTACTTCAAAAGTTACTAAAAAGGGTTAAAAAAAAAAAAAAGTTAGAAAAAATGAAGTGAATTCGAAATTGACTGACTTTGAGAATCCATGTGATTGCATCTAAGCGAGCACATTTAATCCAGTCACCAATCATGTATGAAGATTTGTAGTCTGCACTGATCTCTCTTTCAAGCAACATTTGCACATATTGGTGTTCTTCCTCTGTATTTGATGAAATGTTGTAATTAGTTAAGTTGATGAAGGTGTCTTCATCTACCACTTCTTGACAGGTGAGGCTAGAGAGAGAAGATGTAGAGTGAGAAGAATGCTCCAGTACCATCGTGTAGTGTTTCTCTCTCTAGATCTCAAGATTGAACGGTACGTAGTGAATCAAGGATGTATATTAAGTGCTAAATCCAAGAGTTGGAGAGAGAAAATATGTAAGGTAGGTTGACTGCCATGACTAAACACTGAGGTGTGATGAGTTTAGCGGTTTTGGTGCTGCCACCAGCCACATTTAGCGAGGACTGTCTGAGATGTGTGTGTATGTGTGTGTTTTGCAGTGTGCGTATCTGTGTGTATTCAAGCTAACGTTTATGTAAAGAAATTAGGAATTCCTAAATCCATGGTTTAGTCCTACCACGTCTGTGACGGCTTAGCTTTGACTAAAGAGTACCACAATTTAGTAAACGATGGGTCAATGACTGATTTATTAGCTCTGTTTGGTTGTACAATTGAAAATCTGAAAGGGACAAAAAATAGGGGAGACAGAAGAAGAAGAATTATTACTATTATTATTGAAAGGAATCAGACAGTGTGTTGGAAAATGGTGTTACGTAATTTTTTATTATTATACTATTACATGATATTATTACTGACGAACCTAATTTTTTATTATTCGTAGGGAATAAATTTTCAAATATATTCTTGAATGTGGTGTGATAACCTAGTTATATAGCATGTGATGTTTTAATTTACAAAAAAAATAAATAAAAAATAAAAAAATAACCTTCAAGCAAGGAGAGTAAAATGGAAATATTAAAAAAAAATACATTCAATTTTAAATTACGATAATTATTTTGAGACAAACAAAAATAGAAAAATAGAAAGGTGGATACTTTTTATAGGACGGATGACAAATATAAATAACTTTATGTGTTTTTCTGTGTTTGATTGTTGAAAAATATTTACAAAGAAAAAAAATATAAAAATTTAACAAAAATAACTTATTTTCGACAAGCTATATTTTATACGTCTCACCCAATGGACTTGTCATAGACCTTTGCCAAACACTAAAGAAATATATATATTTTACTTGAAAAAATAAAATTTTTTTGAAGAAAATATTTTACGTTTAAACAAGCGAAACCTAAAACTTTCATTTTTGCTTCAAGCAAAAACACAAACAATTTTGTTTAAAGTGCAACCGGTTGTACCTTTACAAAGAGTCAAAATATACATGTCTTTTGTATGTGTCCTCGCTTTCTAATCTGTCTAAGCGTATTCTTGTTCATCACAGAATAAGGTAATACTTGTTGATTCGCTTCCAACCTTAAGGCCCAAAAGTAAACCAAAAATTATAATTAGAACGAACATGTTTTGACACCAAGATATGTCAATTACATTTTCTGCTTAACATAATTTACCCAAAATTTAAATGTCAAACAAAGTGGTAGAAATTAAATGTTACATTAAGATTTGGTCCAATAATTAAGATATAAAGAAAGAGGAGTGGAGTGGTTGAAAGTTCTTAAAATTTTGATACATCCCAACATAAATTTGGCGATGAATTGTCATACATACTCAATCGTAATAGATTTTGATTCAAAGCACTTTGTTATTCAATAGCAACACCAATTGCCAATATTTCCAATGGACTTTCAAAAAATTATTTTTGTAATAATGCACTCAATATTTGGTGAGAGAGAGATCCAATTGCCTAGTGGAAAGCAAGGTCCAAACGCGACGCTTTTGGAAAGCCTTGGGAATTAACAAATTACGGATTGTAAGGAGTCCCAAAATTTGAAGAGTCCAAAATGATTAATATGGTTTTGGAAAATGATAATGTGACTTTACAAAATGATAATCGCGGCAAATTTAGAAAGAACATTAGAAATGCTCTTATAACAAATCCCAAACTCTAAAATTACACCAAATTACAAGCAACATTTCAGTCGCACGATTGTTACCATGGTGTATTGTTTCTCTCTCTAGATCTCTAGACTGAACGGTAGTAAATAAATGATGTATATTAAGTGCTAAATCCACGACTTGGAGAGAAAAAATATACAAGGTAGGTTGTTTCATGACTAGACACTGAGGTGGTGAGGTGATGAGTTTAGCGGTTTTGGTGCTGCCACCAGCCACAGCGGGGACTCTATGAGATGTGTGTGTTTTGCAGTGTGTAGAAATGTGTATAACGTTTATGTAAAGAAATTAGGCGTTCCTAAATCCCTGGTTTAGCACACCATATACGTCATGTGTGTGACGACTTAGCTTTGACTAAAGAGTACCATGGTTTAGTAAACGATGGGTCAATAACTGATTTATAAACTCTGTTTGGTTGTACAATTGAAAATCTTAAAGGGATAAAAAATAGGGGAGATAGAAGAAGAATTATTGAAAAGAATCAGACTGTGTGTTGGAAAATGGTGTTATGTAATTTTTTATTACTATCCTATTACATTATATTATTGCTCCTTTTGAATAACCTAATTTTTTAAGAGTGTAATTTTTAATATATATATTTTTATTGTATTAATAGGAATGAATTTTCAAATATATCCTTTTACCGCGATTCCATATGACTTTAATTACCTTCATAACTTCAAGCAAGGAGAGTAAAATGGAAATATTCAAAAAATAATATATCTAATTTTGAAGGCAAAGTACAAAAAACTCTCCTCAACTTATAATATTTTCCAGTAAACCCTCTTTATCTATTTTTTTTTACCAAAGAACCCCCTTCGACTTGTAATATTTTTTCAATAAATCTCCCTTGTCTAATTTTTTTCCAAAGAACCCCTCTCAACTATCTGAAGGGGTAAAAGAGTTGATATTTGGACCAAAATGTCATTTTATTTAGATCTTAAATTTCTCAAACTTCAAAAATTTATATCTCACAAATCGTACATTTAAAAATTATAAATAATATATGCATAAAAAACTTATGAAATAAAGATTCCAGAAATATAATATTTGTACGATATACCTTCATAACTTTACATTCAAAAATTCATATCTCACAAACTGTACATTTAAAAATTGTAAATAATATAAGCACGGAAAGCTTATATTAATGATTCAAGAAATATAAAATTTGTACAATAAACCTTCATAAACACAGAGAAATAGGCAATCTAAAAATCTACTCCAACAATCTTAAAAATAAAATACTTGAGATATTTGCAAAAAAATTTCAGAATTATTCATTTACATATGGAGCCGAATATATAAAAGATTTAGTCCCAACAGAGATCGATTTCATGAGATATCATATTTTGCGTCAAAGTATTTTCATTCTTTATAGAGTCATCATTTAAAAATAATAATTAAAAATGAATATTCGGTCTCTATTGGGGCTAATTTTTTGATATGTTATGTTCCATATGAAAATGAATAATTTTAAGAAAAATTCTTGCAAATAACCCGAGTATTTTATATAAAATAAAATAAAATAAGATTGTTATAGTAATTTTTTAGATTATTTATTTCTCTCTGGTTATGAAATTTTATTAAACAAATCTTATATTTCTGGAATCCTTATTTTATAAGCTTTCCGTGCATATATTATTTGTAATATTTGGATGTACGGTTTGTGAGATATGAATTTTTGAAGTTTGGAAAAATTAAGATTTAAATAAAAGAATATTTTGGTCCAAATATCAACTCTTTTATTCCCTTAGATAGTTGAGGGGATTTCTTTGGTAAAAAAATTAGACAAAGGAGATTTATTGGAAAAGATTACAAGTCGAGGGAGTTCTTTGGTAAAAAATTAGACGATTGGGTTTCCTGAAAAATATTACAAGTCAAGATTTTTTTTTTATACTTTGCCTAATTTTGAATTGGGACAATTATTTTGAGACAACTAAAAATAGAAAGGTGGACACTTTTTATAGGACAGATGACAAATATAAATAACTTTGTGTTTTTCTGGTGTTTGGTTGTCGTAAAAAATTTACGAAGAAAAAAAATATTAAAATCTAACAAAAATAACTTATTCATTAATTTTCGGCAAGCTAGTTTACACGTCCAACCCGATGGACTCTACCTAGACCTTTGCCAAACACCGAATAATAAAAATAAAAGAAAATATTTTACTTGAAAAAGAAAAATATTTTCTGAAGAAAATATTTTAGGTCGAAACAAACTGAGCTTAAAAAAACTTTCATTTTTGTTTCAAGCAAACACAAGCAATTCTGTTTAAAGTGCAACCGGTTGTACCTTTAGAGAGAGAGAGAGAGTCAAAATATACATGTCTATAGTATGTGTCCTCGCTCTCTAACCTGTCTGAGTGTATTCTCATTCACCACATAATAAGGTAGTACTTGTTCCGCTTCCTACCTTAAGACTTGAAAGTAAACTAAAAATTACAATTCGATCGTACATGTTTTGACACCAAAATATATCAATTACATTTTCGCTTAACATAATTTACCCAAAATTTAAATATCAAAAAAAGTGGTAGCAATTAAATGTTACATTAAGATTTGGTCCAATAATTAAGATATAAAGAAAGAGAAGACTGGAGTGCTTGAAAGTTCTTAAAATTTGATACGTCCCTCCATAAATATGGAGATGAATTGTTATACATAATCGTAATAGCTATTTAAAAGTTCCAAGCACAGATAAAGTTGAATTCCAAATTCAAAGCACTTTGTTATTCAATAGCAACACCAAACATGCACTTATATCTCAAACTCTTTTCCGTGCACTTTCAGAGAATTGCATCTAGACTCACCCCCAAATTTGATAGATCTTTCACAATTCTTACAAAGTATGTTATACGATTATACCCTAAGTATTGCACCAAATTACAATCAACATTTCAGTCGCACCATTGTTAATAGTGATACGATAGAAATATTTATATATTTCATCATTATAAAATTTAAAATTGAAGAGATGGCAAGCAAATAGTTATAACTCACGCTCATCTAGCTATAGAGGCTTGTTTGGAAGGAATTTCTCTTTAAATCTTTCTTTGAGTGACCTGAGTTTGTTGTTCTAGTATGCTAGTTGCTTTGATTTTTTCTTTTGGTCAAGGGTATGCCCCTAACTGGTTTGTTGATTCTATGGGTCGAGTGATCTGCCAAAGAAATTGTTTTCTTTTCTTTAATAGTTACAATATACCAACAATAATAATAATAATAATAATAAATGTAATGCTATCACCAAAATGAAAGATTTATTAAATGACTTATTTGACATTTCACAAATGATTAAATAAGGAGAGTTCATACATCTTGTCATAATAATGCTCTTATAATAGTATTACTTTTCTTGAAAAACGTTAAAGAGGTTTAACTTTGTGTATTTTTAAGCCCAACGGGTTGGCTCCAGTGGTAAAGCCCTTAGACTTAACGTTTCATAAAATGGGCGTTTGGGATTGCTTCTCTACTACTGAAAAATACTTCCATTCTAAAAAATTGCTGCAATGTGTTTGGTGAAGAAAAAAAGGCTCTTATAGGTGGTAGAGCTTAGGTCTAAAAAGCGCGTTTAAGTGATGTTAGGAATAGTAACTTTTAAAATTATGTTACGGGTAGAGGTCCATATTTTTTTGTAACTAATTTTATTTTAGACAATTTAATCCCTTTATATTTTTTATAAATACAATTTTATCCCTTCTACAAACAAATAGCAAACAATATTTAGGACTCTGTAACACACGAAGATCTTAGTTTATTTTGGGACTTTCTAGCCACCTTCCAATCTCAGTTTATTTTGGACTCTGAATTATATAATTGTTAAATGTTTAATTTTTAATAAATTATGACTTGTAATTTGTTTTTAACGTAACTATAATACATTTATAATATTATCTTAAATAACAAGTAATAAGATTATTAATTGTGGTTAAAGTGTTTAGTTTATTTTATGAAATGTTATCTATATTGCAAAACGTCATATTATTAAACTTCACTATTAGATAACGTATGAGCAAATTTGCTTATTTTATTACTGGAATAAATCAAATATAAATTAATCATCATTAAAATATGTTAATTCATTTATATTTTAGTACTCAATACAAATTCGATATCATAAACAAAATATGTGATATTTAAAAAAAAAAAAAAAAAAAAGAAGCAACAATACAAATTGATCTTTATAAATTATTGAACTTAACGAAATTTTATAATATTTAATATTAGGAAATTAGTATATGTTTAGTGTAAGGGTAATATAATAAAATTAGTAATAAAAGTGTTTTAAGTAATATTATAACCAAATAAATTTAAAAGTGCTTCAAGAATAAAAAGTACTTTATACAATGTGTCACCAAATACTTAATTGCGTTTTACTAACAACACTTTTATAACAACTCTACTATTAAAAACACTTTTAACATTTAAACAGCAATCCCAAACGGACTTGAAATATTAAGTCTTACGTTCGAATTTTCTCGAGCATGATTAATTCCTTAAGGGTTACGATCGCGGATATAGTCTGAACTTTATCCTATTCGTGTGGATGGATTTGCTTTGTAAAAAAAAAAAAAGGAAAAAGAAAGAGGGGAACAAGATTTTAATAAATCATTGATGATAATAACATCTTTGGAAAAAGAAAAACTCCACTAACCAAAAAAAAAAATGATTTTAATATTCAAAAGTCGTGTTATTATCATAGGATCCTTGCAATCTTACCTCCACCTTTTTCTTTTTCTTTTTTTTTTTTTTGGTGGGCCGGGGAGGGGGGCGGGGTTTTCTTCGATTAATTGTACCATATATAGTATTTTAAATAAATCCACGTGACTTTTTATGTTCTCAACCTTGGCAGTTGGGACAATATGCTTGATTCAATTAAAAAGGTCTACTATTTTAATATGCTTGATTCAATTAAAAAGGTCTACTATTTTAATATGCTTTTTATTGCTTTAGTTGATAGAAAACATTGCATTTGATAATGTTATTTTATCAATTAAAAGTCTTTGTAGAATTTTAGTTTAATGCCATCTGATTGGGCACGTTTAAGATTGCAATATCACATTCAGAGAAGTACTTTGATTACAAGCCTAACAAATAAACACATTACACGCAATCGAGGTCAACCAAATAACGTCGAAATATATCAAGCGTGTATAAGTATAACAACTAAAAATCATATATTTATCTTCATAAATATATACTAATAAAGATAAACGAACTGATATTGCAGCATGAAATCTATAAGTAACAATAACTATCTTCCTTCATGTACATGCAATTCCTCTCTCTTGTTCTATATTTTCTTGGCAAGTAGATTTGATTTGTTATTGATTGCTCTCAAATTTGTTTATGGTTACTTCTAGATTTAGATTTGTTTGGTGATTTGTGTTATTGAGATTTGGATGATTAGTTGGTTTATGGCTAGGAAATTTCATTGTTATATTTTAGGGGTGTTTATACCTTTTTGGGACATTTTCGAAAGAATAAAAAGGTAAAACGGGTATTACAATACTAATTTTAAATCAAATTAAAACTTTATGGGTGTCTATACTATGAGATTAGTAGCAGATATATCCCTTGGACATTTTTGAAAGAGTAAAAGGGCGAAACGGGTATTACAACACTAATTTATGTCAAATTTTTGATTGAGAAGTAGTTTTGCACCATATGAAAAGATTAGAGGTATTTTTTATACATATTTTTAAATAGGAGGTAAAAATATTACGTAGACTAAATTTTAAAGGTGTTTTCTATACTTGTCCTATACATATATATATACACACGAAAATGATTTTTTTTGTTCAATAGTGTGTAAAAAATTCATCCACAACGTGCATGGATGAAACTTTGATATAATTGTTATGCTTTTCTGGTGACTAACTCTTTAAAGTCAATGATCATCAAATATGGTATTATTAAATTTCTTGTTCACCGATAAATAAGTGATTAATAATGTTGAACGACTGCGCTTCAACTTCTCATCTCCCCCTTCAAAAGAGAAGAAAAATATTGTTGAGTTGAGTAGGCTTTTTGATATGTAAAAGTCTTGATGGGCCAAACCAACATTTGGGCTGTGTGTATCTTTGGACCTTCTATAGGCTCCGATTTCTTCGTTCATGGAGGCTGATTTGCAAGGCAAATTTGTGCATTGACTTATGCAAAACTAGCATGTCCATCTTATAAAGTAAAACATTAAAGCCATAGTTACCAAAATGAATACAAAAATCACATAATGTCCTTAATAATATGATTTTTTTTTCTCATCCAAAATAATAATGATAATTTGTCATTAGAGAGGATTGTTTTAATGTAGATACCTCGATAATCTAGTGTGTTAGTGCTTTCAGTGCATCTACTAATCTACGGACCAAGACAAACAATCGTATCAAACAAGATCAACTTTGGTTTAAAATTATGCCACATATGTGATGAGAATGGTGTAGATCTCACTTGACCTTAAGTAATGTTTGGTGGTATGAAATTGGAGTTTTGGAATTGAAATTGGTGAAATTTGTGGTATCAACTTTGGTTTAAAATTATGCCACATATGTGATGAGAATGGTGTAGATCTCACTTGACCTTAAGTAATGTTTGGTGGTATGAAATTGGAGTTTTGAAATTGAAATTGGTGGAATTAGAGAAAAAGTAACTAAGAAAATTGAACCAAAATTTTTTCCAATTCCATAACGCCAAACATAGCCTAAGTATTATTCTATTTATATATTTTAAGAATGAAAAATTGACAATTAATTAAGGTACAGTTTCCAATTGTGTTGGGGATTAATTATGGTTACAGTTTCCAATTGTGTATTAGGTCCACTGTGAGATGATGTATTAGGGTTGATATAATTAATTAATTATTTATTTTTAGTATAGAAATAAAATTACTCTCAAATGGTCATTAAAAGCAATTTAATTTTATGCTATGTTTTGTTGAAGGGGAGGGTTGGATGAAGAGGAATAAAAGCGTTTTTCGTATTTAAATGGAGGGAATAAAAAAGAGGGAGGAAGTAGGGGGGCTTCATCCCTTTTGCTTTGTATTTTTTTATCCATCCAAAATTGAAGTAAGAGGAGAGTGAGAAATAAGGAATAATTAATAATTTTTATTCCATTTTAGAAAGGTTAAGGTCACAATAAAACTATTAATTTTTAATTTGGATCACTAAAATTTATTTATTTTTTATTTTAAAAAAAAATCAATAACTTGAGACTCAAGAGAACTTATTAAAGAGTAAACGAAGAGTCCGTTTGGGGTTGCTGTTGAAATAATAATAACAAAAAAACACTTTTATCAATAGAGCCATCAAATAAGCATGTTTAGTATTTAGTGACATAATATAATAAGTACTTTTCATAATTAAATTATTTTATAAAGTTATTTAGTAACATTTTTTTTAAAACATTTAATATGATATTACCATATTTGATAATAACAATTTTATTAAGAAAGAGGTGTAATTGTTTTTATAAAAAATAAAAAAAGACAAATTGTTTATTAAAAAATAGTTACTTAAAATATTTAACTTCTACCCAAAACGCAATTTTATAAGTTCTAAATTCACTCAAATTTAATAATAATTAAAAAATACTTATAATTGTTACTAAATACATCGAACAGTAATTTTTCAAAATAAAACCGTACAAAAGCAAATGGCTCCAAGTTCGTTAGTTTTCACCTCCTCACAAGTCACGGCTTACATCACAACTCCACTGCTACTAGCGTCCGGAAGCTACGCGGAGGAATCCACGTGCTTATATTACCCGCGTATATCTTGCAACAAGTGCCACCAACAGCCACGTGTCGTCCTCTAAATTCTCAAATCTCTTCACAAAGAAACAATCTTCACCGATCCCTTCCCCAACGGTTCGGATCAACGCCACGTATCAGACCTCACGATTCACCCCCTGCGCTCTCTCACACGTTCACCACCGCGTAATTCCACATGTCAATGCTACTACTACATCACGCAGCAAGCAAACCCTCAACTCTACCCCTCCCGTCTCTCTCTCTCTCGCTTCACCATTAGTTTCTCTCTCTATATCTATATATCCCCAAATCTAGAGAAGCCCCTTTCTCTCTTTCTATATATATATATATATATATATATACCTTCAATTCTTTAATGGATAAATCCTCCTTCGATTCGAATATTCAGTTTCGTTCATTCATATCGATTCAATCTCAGCCCACCCATCTCTTGTCAAAATCTTTCAATTGTAAGCTTCCTACTCAATCTTGTACCTCCTTCTGACAATACAAACCACGAGGAGGACCTCTTCCCTTAGAAATGGGGAAAAAACGTAAGCTATATAAATTAGTGCTTCAGTTTCTATTGATTCTAGGGTTTCTTTTTTTCATTAATTAGGGTTTTGATGTTTTTTTTGTTTGATTAATTTTTAATCTTTAGGTTCGGATTTTCTAATGTTCTAACAAATGGAAGTCTGAATTTTGTTTGCTTTGGCCTTATCTTATTTTGATTGGGAATGGAATTTTTGAATCTTGTAGGTAATTCTAAATCTAAGAATGCTGCTGCCATGTTCGACAGTGAAGATGATGATAGTATAAGTTCGTCATCGACTGCCCGCTCCGACCTTATGCTGGTCTCCGGTGCTGAAGAAGTGCAGCTCGATAAAGAGACTTTGCTTGATCAATGCATAGATGCTTTATATGAGAAAAGGTAGTTAAAATCACTTATATATATATATATATATATATATATATATATATATATATATATATTGTTGTGCTCCTATGAGTAACAAAACCTGAATTATTTCAAAGTTGCAATCTTTTTCTTAGAAAATAGCAGCAATGAATTAACAAGTGTTGTTGGATCCTAATGTTGGCTTATTTGTTCTCTTTCTTTGTATATTTTTGGATAAAGGGGCTCCACAAGAGAGAAGGCTCTTTCAACAATTTTAGAGGCTTTTAATTCTGACATACAGCATGAGTTTGTTGAAAAGAAGTGAGCACTTTTCTGGCTTTTCTATTATATATGTGTGTGTATATATATATATATACTCCTTATATTATATTCTGTATCTAAGTTTTGCTTGGTAATTTTGGGTCTCTTAGAATCCTAAAATTTCAAGTTAAGTTGCTTAAAAGATTCAAGACGGTTGTCAATTCATCTATTTGTAATTTTGAAGAGTGCTGTATTCCTTCTCACTTTTATATGATTTAATGAAGGATTATTTCATTCAAGCTTGTTGAAAGAACTTCAGTCAAAGTTTCATCATGTTTCAACTTTCACTACAATTGATTCCATGACCAATTTGATTATGGTCTTTAACTTGTTTCGCAAAATTCTGCATTATGATTATTTATTAAGCTTCTGAAATTGAAAATGCAACAAGAAAAAGAAAAAGAAAAGATGGGGAAATTTTTTTTGTTAACAATTGATTCATCCAACTACCTACGTGTCTATCAACTACTAGAACTATAATGTCCCCATGTTGGCTTGAAAATTTCCAGTCATGAGTGTTTATCTATGAGATCCTCACAGTTATGGGCGCTTTTTTCATTTAGGTTTGCTACATTACTGCATCAATGTCTGAATTCCATTAAACGGGGTTCTGCGAAAGAGATATCTTTAGCAGCTCATGCAATTGGTTAGTCTCTATTCTTATTTGTTGACATACTTTTATTGTCTGATTTTGAGCATTTTCTAATTCTGTGTTTTTCTGGGTAGGATTGTTGGCTCTAACCACTGGTCCTGGGGACAAAGCCCAAGAGATATTGGAAGAATCAGTTTCTCCTATATCACAGGCTCTCAAGTCTCGGTCTGAATCATCGAAGATATCATCGGTACATATGATGATGATGCATCAGTTAAACTTAGTTTTTTGTTTGCAAGTTATTTCAATGCACAATCCATTGTTTTATGGACAATTCGTATTCATGATTGTAGTTATTGGAGTGTTTGGCTATTATCACATTCATTGGTGGAAATGACCCAGAGGAAACAGAGAAATCAATGCAATTGATGTGGCAAGTGGTTCATCCAAAACTTGGTTCGAATGTATGTATGCTTTTATCTTAATTCACTTTGTTTGAATGATATCTAGTTGTGCCTGGTGTACATATTTATGTTTGTGTCTTGGTACACGAATTGACCTATTAAGCATCTGATGATGCAGTGTTACACTTACTTGCTTTTGTGTTTATGTCCTGTTTTCAAATTGACTTTTCTTGCTACGAATACTATTTTTTCATTTTTTGTTCTTGATTGAAATATATGGCCCATTCTCTTCATCTCAACTAGGGATGCTTTGATATATCATTTTGTTTGCTGTGATTCATGTTGATCTACTACTTTGATATATGATTTTTTTGTTGTGATTCACAAGTTTTATTTAAAGTAAACGTGCACACCCACAACATACCCCTAGCAAGGCTTGAACTCTCAATCTCTCCTTTGGGGAGAGATCATGCCAACTGGGCCAGTGGCATTGTGGTTGTGATTCACAAGTTGATATGCTGATTGATGATTTTTTTTTTTTTTACACTGAAATATGTAACAAAAAACTAATACTAGTATGCTTCTCAGGTTGTTGCCACGAAGCCTTCCCCAGCATTGATAACAGCAGTGGTGTCGGCTTGGTCATTTCTTCTTACAACAATGGATGGATGGAGCCTTAATCCTAAAAATTGGCAAGAGTAAGCAGTGTTCTGTTTGTGTGCGCGCGCGCGCGTGCGTATTATATCTATACTGGACACCAATGCACATGTAAATCTGGTTCATGCCTTAAAGGACTGTCTACACCTCCAGTGGTATCTCCAACTCTCAATGTAGAAGGTTACGTTTTTATTGGGACAAAGTGGGTGTGTAAGTTATGTGCTAGGATAAAAAGGAAAAACAAAAAAAAATGAAAGAAAGTGACTGTCTACTAAAATGGTTATAGGAATCTTTAGGATCTTAACCTTGTAATTTCATGAGGCACAGCGCACTGTTAAAATGAATGGTCTTATTGGTTCTAGGAAACTTTATTGATAAACAAATTTACCTTGCTGAGCAAATGTTGCAGGTCAATTTCTTATTTTTCCAGTCTGCTGGAAAAGGATGACAGATCTGTACGCATTGCAGCTGGCGAAGCACTTGCTTTAATTTTTGAGATCGGAAACCTGGAGAAGTTCTCTGGTGAAGCTAATGCTTCTGGTGAACTGAATAATTCTAAGGGGTTTGCACATATACAGGGACTAAGGGGAAAAATTCTAAATCAAGTGAGAAATCTTTCCGTGGAGGCAGGTGGTAAGGGTTCTGCTAAAAAAGATCTCAACAGTCAGCGGAACTTGTTTCGAGATATCTTGGAATTTCTTGAGGTACTCTTTCATTAATTTCCAAAGATGTACTTTTGATGTGTTTTTTGGCTGTAACAATGATCTCCTAAATTTCAGGGTGGTTATAGTCCGGAAACTTCAATGAAGATTGGTGGAGAATCTCTAAGCACGACAACATGGTGTCAACTGATACAGGTTCCTCCTTTGCTTCTTCTTTCCAATTTTTTGGGTGTGAATGGCATCTAATCTTAGGTCTTTTTTTTTTTAACAGTTGAACTTTACAAAGCATTTTCTTGGGGGAGGATTTGTGAAGCACATGCAGGTTTTATTCCCTTGCCCTTCTTTTCTTTAAGATGAAGTTGTAAAAAATCTGTCACAGCATGTTCTTAGTTCTCAATTACTCTCTTTCTTTTATTGTTAAAACAGGAAAATGAATTTCTTCATGATGTTTTTGGGTTCACACCAAAGAAAAAACAATTTTCCGGAATTGAGCATCGTGTAACTGCCAGTGAAAAGGTCAGCTTACACCACTTCTACTGTAATATTTGTGACTAAATTTTCATTTGGAATGCACATTATGTATGTGGCAATGAATTTCTATCAAGTGATAGTTGACCAATTAGTATAGCCATTCCTCACATGACATGATGTGTCGATGAGTATAAATTATAATATTCGATTTTGGTACAATATTCCTTGGGCATTTCTCAAGATGGATTATTGGTAGAAGCATAGATCTCAAGCACATGCTCAACATTTGGGGTCCTTTTAAAATGGTTTAAACTATTTGCATATGCATTATTTGCGCTTGCAGTTGCATATTCCATTAGTAGATTCATGAGAATTGTGTTTGCTCACTGACCCAAATTACTTTGTGACTTTGAGTTGTTTTTTTCCCCCAAATGGCTTTAAGGTGCATTTATTGACATGGTTTATAAATATTAGAACAAGTTGTTACTAATAATGCTTTGCCAATTGCCATGCAAATTTAGAACTAAAGCCTATTATTTTCTATCTTCTAATTGGAGTTTATTCTTTTGGCAGAGATTGTACAAGTCACAAAACTCGATCCTTAATAAGGCAAGGACACAATCATTGAACAAGCAACGAATGTTGTCCCAGGTAGTTTCTCCACAATAGTGGAATTCGTGTGTTTGCCAATTCAATTTGTTGCTGAGCTGTTTCAATTATATTAATGTGTTTTATTTATATACACTTTTCTGTTTATAGAAGTGTTTTACAATGGTATAAAGGATTACTTGATGTTTCTGGTTGCCTAATGCTTCTTTACACTCTTGACCCAAGTGTCCACTGTGAAGGAGGGTGTGTTGTAGGTAGGTTCAATACTATTACCAATCAGAAATTAAGAAATGGCCCGCCTTCATGTTTTATGGGTTTCAATCAACTGAATATAGTTTGGTTTTGGTGTGTGTGTGTGTGTGTTTGTTTTAAAAAAAGAATATAGTTTGGATTTGGAATTTCAGAGCCACCTTACATTTGGATGTGCAACCTTTTTACCAATTCAGTGTGGGCGAATTTGATTTAGCGACTAAGCTCAAGTTTCATGCTGTTTGTTTTAGGGAGAGCTTGCCAGTTTGTTTTAGGGAGAGCATGCCACATTTTTGTATATGCACAGTGGTGATTAAAACTACTTCCCCATCAGGCGGGTTAACCTGAATTTAACCCCATTTTTTACCTGTATGGACAACCTTTTCAGTTGGGGTTGGAGTTTGGGAAGAACTCAACCCAAAGATGGTTTGTTGTGTCAGCAACCCAGCCCAACCCAAACATATTTTTAACTAGACCTTTTTTTTTTTTTTTTGGTAATATATTTTTTTATATTAAATATGGTATATTGTGATTACCTTTTTTCTTTCTTTCTTTCACTTTCTGTCTTTAGCTCTTCATTTATTGGATTAATAAATGAATATCTTAGATAATTCTTTAGCTCTTCATTTATTGGACTTATGGTGTTGGTTTTACTATGTGCAGGACAGGAATACAGGGCACTATGCTGTTGGTTTGCCCAACGAGGAAGCTTGAAGTGGACTCGGCAAGAATCAAATGACTACGGTCGGTCTACCTGAATATTAGCTTCATTTAATACCACCCCAATCGGTGTTCTTTTGGGAATGGAAATCATTTGTTGTCCTTTCTAATGGGACTCTCTCATGAAAATGCCAATGGTACTTTGATAACAGATTCATCATGTTGTAACTCTGTGCAACCTTTCCCTTCAAAGTATAAATAATGGAAAATTGATGTTTGTCAAGTGAAAGTTACATTATGGCTCCATTGTGAATGTCATCTTTGTGCAACGTTTCCCTTCAAAGTATAAATGATGGAAAATTGATGTTTGTCAAGTGAAAGTTACATTATGGCTCCATTGTGAATGTCATGCTAAAAAATAGGAACAAATTTATTGTATGGCTACACGTATAAGAATCTGGATGGACGATAGGTCTTTGAATATGCTCTAGTTTTCCCCTTGACCTCTCGGACATGGAATGGTTAAGCAGTGAGTTGAATTAGAATGAAATATTAGCTTTTACAGGATTTAACAAGCGCATTCATCAGAAATTTTGTGGTTCATAGGTCATTTTTGATGGTTAAGAGGTCATTGGTAATGAGTCACGTTTGGAAACTAGGCGCTCTATCAATTAGGCTCTATTTCTAAGCGCTCTATCGGGAAGCTGTGCACACCTCACCTTTCCTATAGCCTCCAAATATAGTCGAGTCTTCCTATGCATATGCATACATGTAACCCATCATGGTCCAAAACCAGTGCTCAAGATGACACTACAGTTGAGGGTCAAACGCTTTGCAACCAAACCTCACCCGAAACAACCATGCAATCCAAATGGGCAAAAAATATTAGCAATTTTTAAGAATGCAAATGAAAAAAATATTACAACTATTTGCAAATGAAAAATGCTAAACGTGTAATATTAGTCTCTTGTAAAACTAGAACGAATGGGTATGCAAGCGAAAAAGAAGATATTGCACCGGAAGCATTTACAGATTCCTCCCTCCACAGCTGAGCTGTGTCCAACATATAAATTTGTAGCTAAAGGAAATTTCACATTCCTTCTATATCTAAAAGCCAAGAACCAGTCCTAAAGTTCAACATATGTACAAAACTGTGACATCGTTTTATTAGAAATGCGACCCCTCTTGTAGAATGACAAAGCCATTCAAATTAAAAAGAGAGTAGGTATCATCTTCTCCGGTGTAAACAGCATTCAGATGCTGAAGTCTGATGAGCCTTTTTCACAATTTCAAGGCACCTGAAACTTATGTAGCATAACCGGCACTCTGATCCTGTGCTCTATTCCTCTCAATCATCAACTACAAAGATCATACCCATTCAAAGTTCGTCTCTTTCGGCAAAACCAAAGCAATCAGGCAATCTGATGGGCTGGGTGAAATAGAAAGCATGGAACATGCATCAACCGAGTGGGGAAGAATGAAAAGAAGTCTCGCCCACATGGACTTCACAGCTGGGATCTTAATTACTCCTGCACACTCCCTCTGCTTCAAGTAAGACACGAAATCCTGAAACTGCATCAACAAACTTGAAACATTAGGAAGGAACCAAATTCAACTTCTTTCTATATTACTTGTACTAAGTGCATGGACGGACACTCTTAAGACTTTGTGCGCGCCTGACAAAGCTGTTTCCATGTTTGTTATTATCAGCAATGCAGTATAACTGGGAGGCACATCATGGGATTATAGATTGTCATCATCGTCATTGCCTTGATCCCATATGAATGGGGTCGGCCACATGATTTCTCTCGCCAAACTTTTCTATCATATGTCAATTCACCTACTATATTTAACTATTTAAAATCATATTTAATAACCTCATCCCATATTATTTTTGGCCGTCCTCTCCATCTCTTACCTTCTATTACAACTAGTCCTTCCCGTTTGACCGACGCATCACTAGGTCTCTGACGTATATGTCAAAACCATCTAAGTCTACTCTCTCGAATTTTCTCACCAATGGGTGTTGCACCTAATTTTCCTCACTTTTATTAGTGACCCTATCCCTTCTAATCACTCTACTCATTTATCTAAACATTCTCATTTCTGCTACATGAAGGCGTCGTTCTTGTTTCTATTTTAGGGCCCAACACTCCACTCCATAGAACATAGTTGGTCTAATAACAGTCCTATAAAAATTTTCTTTTAGTCTATGTGTTATTTTTTTTATCACATAATATCCCATTAGCTTGTCTCCATTTTGTCCAACCCACTCCAATTCTACTAGTTACATCATTATCCATTTCTCTATCCTTTTGAATTATCAATCCAAGATACTTAAAGTAGTGGTTTTAAATAATCCTTTGGTTTTGAAGTGCCATCATTATATTACCAATGTTTGAATCTTTAATAAATTTGCACTCCGTATATTCAATTGTAGTTCTACTAATATTCTCAATCTTTCTGATTCTAAAGTATTTCTCCACATTTCTAGTTTTATTGCAAGTTCTCTTTAGAGATATCCAAAAGCACGATATCATCAGCAAACACTATTCACTATGAAATCTCGTTTTGGAATTCTTTTTTTACTTCATCTAAGATTATTGCAAATAGATATAGGCACCAATCCTTGGTGCAATCCTACGTTTATGGAAAACTCACTAGCGTCACCGCGGATGGTATGAACTTTAATTTTTGTATTCATATGCATATCTTGGATAGTTTTTATGATTTGTAAGGGATTTGTTTTCTTTGTAGGGCCCACCAAATTATATCTATTTGGGACCCTATTATATTTTTCTAAATCTATAAAAATCATATGTAGGTCTTGTTGCTTACCCCTACATTCTTCAACTAATTGTCTAAGCATATAGCTTCCATTGTTGATCTCCCCTGCGTGAATCCAAATTGGTTAACGGATACGGGATTATAGATTGTATTTTGTTAATAAACAGCCGACTAGGAAGTATAATTATTGCCATTATTATTTTTCACATAAAGAACCCTATAACAGTTGCATAATAAAATTTCAAGTCCATACAATTAATAACAAATCCTTAAGGGTAAATTACATTGACCTCCACTTTAGTTGAGAAAAATTATAGAGATCTCTCTATATAAAAAAAATTACACCGATCTTCCCCATCAGACCTTGTTGTTGGTGATTAACGGAAATTATAATTTTACTAATTTACCCTCATATTGAAAAGAAGCTTTTTATTCTTTACAACATTTTAAGGACAGAACTGGCATTTTAAATATATATTTTGCTAACATTTCAAACTTTTGAAGTTGACCAATTTTGACCTTTAACAAAAGGGTAGCGTGTACTTCCTGAATGCATAGAGGTTTTTGTACTTTCACTTAACTAGAACGGAGGTTAGTGTAATTTATCATTTCTTAATGAATCATATTTACAAAAGGGTAGCGAATGTAGGCTTTTGTAATTTCACTTAACTAAAAGGAAGGTTAGTGTAATTTATCCATTTCTTAATGAATCATATTTAATGAAGGCCTTTGCAGACTACAGTAATGCATATTTGCTTTTTAGGTGATCAAATAAATGAAGAAATTACTTTTCTGTAGAAGATTAAAAGACAACTTACGCCTTTTTGGTCGCTTGCAGATGAGGGAAGGAGCCAGCATACCTCTCTCTGCATCACATATTAAAAAAATAAGATATCATATCCAAGGGTAACATTATTTTCAACCCAAACAAACTCAAATGGTAAAGAAAATATTCTACCCGTTTTATGTGGTATAAAATGGGCCATATTTTTGGCGGTCAAACCAGCAAAAAAGAGTACCAGGTCTAATGGTATCTCCTCTCCTTTCAAGTGAAAGGTAGAGGGTTCGAGTCACTCCAAGAGCATTGTGGGATTTCTTTGCCAAGACAAAATAATAATAATAATAAATAAATAATAATAAAAAAAGAGTGCAATCTGCAGTTTCCGCAGCCCAACAGTAGATGTAATCCTCTTTTTTTGCCAATCCCATTTAATTTAAGTTATAATTGGTTATTTTGGAAGAACAATAGTACCACATGTTACTATCATCAGCATAATCATGTATCAATGTTTAAGACGTGTCAATGCATCCGTAAACTTTTGGATACACTTCAAACCGAGTCCATGCATACTAAGATTTTGGATGAAGGGAGCTTTGACAATTAGACACAATAGAAGCTAACCACACTCCAAATAAAGGATCTATCGAGCGCAAACAAAAAAAAAAAAACACTCCAAATAAAAGTTGCACGCTAAAGGTTACAGTGTTTTTTTCTTTTTCCAAAAACATACACGAAAATTGATGCAATAATTTTAAATGGGCAGTGCAGAGAGAGAGAGAGAGAGAGAGAGTATTTGCCTATTTGGTAACTCACTTTATGTGGTGGGGTACTAGAAAATGTTGATTTCACATGCCGAAAATCTGTGCGTTTTGTCATATCTAATTTAGCAGGCCATCTGCATGTGTGAGCCAGGAAAAAAGAAAACTATAATCAGAGACGACCTTCATCTCAGTAAATTAAAAAAGGGACCAAATGAAGATAAAGTCATTACTCTGCAGGTTCAGAAATGGCATTTGAATACTTGCAAATATCTGAGTCCACTCTATGAGCATAAATTGTGCAGTAATGAACCCCACTTTTACACAAAGTGCCTTGCCACTGATGCTGCAGACACTGTCCAGAACTTCCTGAGTGGGAAAATTCCACAGGAGGAGGTGGAGGAGGAGAACTAGGTGGTGGGGGAACCAGAGGTGGCTGATTCTCAGGCAAAGGAGGTGGGGATGAAGGTAGTGGAGGTGGCATGTCAGACTGAGGTGGTAGGGATGCTAAAGGTGGTGGCACAACAGGCAGAGGAAGCATCTGGTCAAAATGCTGCATAGAGCCTCCCTGTAGCTGTGAGAGTGGAGTGACTGAAGCAGGTAGAAAAGGAGGTGTAACAGAACTGCCATGAAAATTGTTGCGCATTACACCTGGTGAGATTGGGTTGAAAGGAAACTGATGATTTGAACCACGGACATCCCAGGAACTGTTTGGGGGAATATAGACAGGTCGAATGAATGGAGAAGGATGAAAAGGATGTGGTGGTGGAATAGTGGGTCCTGGTGTCGGTGTGGGTATGCATGGGACAGTCCCTGGTGCAGGATGCAGCTCGGTTTCCGGTTTCTTATACATCCACATTTGTTCAGTCACACCAGAAACAACAGGACCACCTGAGAAGTCAGCAGAAAAACTAAAAACCATGAGCATGCAACTAATTTGGCATAAAGAATGAACTATTACATCTTTGTTGATAGAATATCACCTCCATGTGAAGGATTGATTGCTATATTGTTGTCGTAACCATCGACTTTCCTTGCACCAACTTCAGGCATCTCCATACGACCAAAAAAGTTCCATTTTGATTGAAATGAATGTTCATTTTGCATTGTGTTTCCATGAGTTTCTGGATTTGATCCAGGTGATACAAGCTCCAGAGAACTGCCCTCAGGTTTCACTGTGACAGGAGTGGCAGTGTGCTTCCCGGGTTGACTGTGCAAAGAATGGAGGAAAATTGTTAATGAGATAAGAAGAAAAAAGAATTTGTTTTTGAATCCAGTAATGGCTACAGTTGTCAGAGGTGAACTATTGCTCTCGAATAGCACATGAACATGTTCAAACAATTAAAATGTTAAGGTATCCAATACCAACAATTCAGAACATAGTGGATTTGTGCTGAGCAATGAGTTAGCAAGAGGTACTATTATGCAATATACACGCAATAGTCAAAATTGCTTAGAAAATTTAACTACTTCAACACACATTTCAACTATCCGTCCTGATTATCTAAGACGTAGCTGTAGAAGTGGGAAAGACAGAAAAGGGGAAAAAGAAATAGAAAAATAAATAAATAAACAAACAAGAAAATAGAGGCAGGAAATGTCACTCCAGACTTACCAAATAACACCTACCAAAGAAGACTCAACAAAATCAAGTGAAGCTGCAACTTAAACTAGAGCAAAGCAAATATAGTAACACCTAAATTCATTTAAAACTGAAGGTTCTAGCTAACTTAGATGGTAAATTCTCTACGTAGTCATACGATTTGTACCTGAAGGTTCTAGCTAACTTAGATGGTAAATTCTCTACGTAGTCATACGATTTGTACCTGATACCTACAATCGAATCTGTCTTCATTCAAGTTGGCCCAAACTATTGGATAAAAAACCATTTCAAATATAAAACTAAAGTATATACAAAACATGTATAGACAATTTTATTTAGTCTTCATTCAAGTTGGCCCAAACTATTGGATAAAAAACCATTTCAAATATAAAACTAAAGTATATACAAAACATGTATAGACAATTTTATATATTAGTTATTTGCTTTGATTAGTAAAAATCATTAGACTCATCACTAAAAGGTGCCCAAGTGAGATGCAAACGAAGTACATGTTGAGTATACAAAGCAGACAACAAAATAATTACTGTCATGTAAATTCAGGGCATCCAAAATCAATCTTACCAAAAAAGGAAAAAATACTATGCATTTAAAAACTACTCTGAAAAAACCAGAAACCTTCCTTGAAGCCTCAATAGAAAGACAGACAGGTTCACATGCATTACTACCTGAAGCTTATTAAATGCTCCACCTCAAAGGGGCCAATTCTCCAAACAGGCCTGATACTTTTGCTGCCACATCTCCAACTAGGAGCCCACTACATCAAGAATCGACAACAACATTACCCACTGAACCCTCAATCAGGTTAACTTATCCCATGTCCTTTGTGCATGCAGCATCAATAAGGTTAACTTACCCCACGTCAGATAATTGTCGATAATAGCAAAAATTCTCTAAAGCCCCAGTCCCCAAAACACACACACACACACGCACAAATAAAAAATAAAATAATTAATTAATTAAAAGAATCTTAGATAGTACGTCAAAGAAACTTTATCAGCCCAGATCAGACAATCTAATCTTTATGCCTTTTATATAACCTCACTGAGTTCAGGCACACTGAGCTCAGGGGAGGTCCAATCCCTGCATGCACTATCATATATATATATATATATATATATATATATATATTCACACCACTCCACTCCACAAACACCCTTTACCTATACCACATCCTCACAGCAAGTTACCTAACAATATAACCTATTTTTTTGTACACAAAACTCTTCCCCTCATAGGAATGATAATAACATCCATTAAACTCCTCCAAGTAATCCCATAGAGAACCGCTGTGGAGCTTTTCCAATGACTCAACCACGGAAGAGAAAAAGAACATTAAATATGCCTGAAGGATGGCAAGCGGACTTCTGAAAGCTTTGGCCTTTCCCAGGATAAATGCTACCTTTTCTGAGCCTCCCATTACCCTCAAATCTCTCCACCGCTAGATATAGACCACTTTTAGCACTAACCAGGAAAAAAAATTAAAACTCAACATACCATACCGCTAATCTAGTCACTATCCTATTGAACGCCTCAATTCAAACCAGGACTTTAGCAGCCTTACATTGTATCAGCCATTATGACCAGATTCTCACCAATATATCGTGCAGTTCTTCACAAGAGCCTCAGCTGAAACGGCATCATAGATATAGCACCATAACGGCAATGCGGCACCATGGATTTTAAACCTAATTTTTTATCCCTATTTTCCCCTTTTTGCAGCTGACACACACTCCTCCAAACACAGTCTAAAGGTTAGATCAAGCTTTTAGAGCTCAAGATTCACGAGAATTGAACTTAGGTCTTGAATCAAAACCTTCCAGTATCTTATAATAATCAGTCAAATTTTCAATTTTCTTTTGAAATATTTTATACGTTTTCACTTAAAATCTTACATAAAGATGGTGTTTGACATGTATGACAAGCCTTACTTTGGTTTATATATATGTGGATCGTTTCTCTAGTTTACGGCAATGATATGCTATAATATTGTTTTAACAAGGTTTATTAGGTAACATGTCAATTATGCTTTCTTTTTTTATTTTTTTTTTCTTTCAATTATTTCATCTTTAAGTACATTTGTGGCAATAAAGAAGTAATACAGATTAGTAAATTTCTTGAAGACAGACTTCAAATTCAATGTGTAGACCGTTATTCATATTATTTACCTTCAAAAAAAAAAAAAAATCCACTAAAAGTCATTATAAGTAACCCAAATTTATTGCATTATGTAGTTAAAAGTTGCGTATAGATGCATACTGTGCCAAGGGGTGAGAGGTCCAAATAATTCACAACCTCAACAATGATGTCTACTACGTAACCCTGTTATACCCTGCAGCAGTTACCCTTTACCGTGTCCACATTGGCGGCCACATCTGTGACTGAGAACCTTGCCTCCACTTTTAAACCCCGTGTCTAGCCTCTAATCCGAAAATCGAACTGTTATCTCCACTCCCCAGCTCACAACTCCATCAATAATAGCCTTGCCGATGCTATCCATCATCCTGCAGTTCTATGAAAAAACTTACTAATTTATCCCCTCGACCGGATTTTATCTCCAACTCACCTCTCTGAACTCTACTTTTCCCCAATTCCCTCTTCCTCTCTGCCACAAGCCTTCTCCTCCTCCACAAAAATCCCTAGCTTTTTCTTTCATATTCAACAACTTAATTTTAGCTGCCACCCTACTCTTTAAACACTTCCAGAACACTCCTTCTTCCTGTTTCTTTAAATCTTCAAAAATTTAAGCTTCTGAGACACACAAATGCCAGGGAGCCCTCCACCTTATAGCCCTCCAGCCAACCCTGCAGAGCCCTAAACAGTCCCTTACTACTATGTAACAACTGTGAGCACATAATACACATGCCACTGCAGAGATGTCTAAACAACAGGTGCTACTCCCTATCCTAGGAAATCAAGAACCAATCCAACCTCGATGCTGACAAAGGATTCTTAGTTGTATAACCATGTTAGGCATCCACCTTCAAGTGGGAAATCAATCAATCAAATTATAAGAACCACTTAAGTCGGATAACAATTCCATGGCCGTAGAGATCCTCCCACAAATGAATCAAACTAAAGTTGCCTCCTATACCTCATGGCAACTGTCATCTAACCCCCATCCTCTTAAGTTCCACCTTTAACTCTCACCATTTGAAACCCATATAGCCTATACACCTCCAAGAGTACCCACTGAGAGCGGTCCTCTATATTGCAAAACAAACAAGGAACATACCTCTCATCCACTTTATCCACAACCCTCTTTTTCCCAAATCAAAAGCACCCCAACCACAACCCCTAAAAGAGTATTGATAAACAATTTGACCTATATACAAATTTCTTAGGATCACATTAGTAATCACTTCCATCATCTTCTTCAGCATGCAAACTGCATTCATCCTACAATTCTTGAATCCCATAACTATTACTCAAGCAGAAAGTTTTACTTTGCTAAAGCCACTACTTACCCAGAAAACTATTCAGCATTTTACTTTACTTCTCTCCAGACCCCTAGCATTAAAACACCATGTAAAATCAACACAAATAACTAGTTATCAAAAAAAAAAAAAAAAATCAACACAAATAACAAACCATGTCTAAAGCCATCATAGATTGCAAAGACAAAGTCTAAGGTCATAAAACGATATCTAGAGGTGAACAATATACAAAATAGAAAACAAGGAAAGAAAAGGAATGGCATGTAATCCACAAATTAGTTCAAAACCTAGAATTATGAGATTTTCAGGACAGATACATCTAGCAAAAGGTCATCAAATCAGTGGCTAGATTCATATTACCTCCGTCCCATATTAGTTGTCCACTTCAAAAACTTTGACTTACAATTTTTGTAAGTCAAAGTTACCGAAGTAGACATCTAATATGGGATATAGGTAGTATTTAAGTATATAAAAGGAATATGACTAAAAATGACCTCAAATGACTCAAAAATAAAAAGTGGCAGTGGGTCAAATTTTTCGAAATGGACAACTAATATGGGACGGAGGTAGTAATAATTTAGTCATGGGGAATAGAAAGACCCATCCAAAGTTATTTCTCGATTAATTATGCCGTCGAAGTGATTTATAAACAAGAAAAGAAGATGCAGCTAGGATATCAATTCAAACCTGAATTCTATTTGGAAGAAAATCCCAGGACAACCCTGAAGATTCTTCAAAAGAGTATTTGCAGCATCTAAGCTGCTGCATTCCACAAACCAAGAAGAACTCATCTGCATATTTGTTCGGATTAACCTGACAACAGACCCCACATTACCCATAGCAAGATTGCAAACAGTCATCAGCTCATCATCAGTGAGGCAGGGGTGGCTCACATTCGGTACATTTATCCAGAGAGTGTTTGTTGGCAACCGATCTTCTTCCCTTGAAGAGGCATTATAGTTTCCAGATATATGGTTAATATTATATTTTGTACATAATGACGAAAGCAGTGAGGATAGTCGAGACATCCTTTTCCTACAGCTGTCAGCAGGGCTCTCAAGTGACATTGGACCATGAGGTGATTCAATAATATTAGTTCCAGGGTTGTTGCTTCTGAAGTCAACATGAATAGAGGCAGACCCAGATACTGCAGCATCCATATGCCTCCCGACATCGACTGGAGGATGGTTATGATTCTCCTTACGGCGCTGTCTGAGATGTGCCATTACAGTTACAGCTTCTTCAGGACTCCCAAATTCCATCAGCAATGCACCTTCACTGGTAAGATCAGTAACCATACGAGGACCTTTGTAAACTACTTTCATCAATTCGTGCATGATATCATCTTTGGCCCATCGGCTAGAAACATTTCCAGTATAAACATGGCAACTAGAACCAACTGCAACACCATTTACAACGCCCCTGGTTCCCAATCCTATATCCAAGAATTTTATGCGAAGACAGGCACCCCAAGGGGAATGTCCACGCATAACTTCTCTAGCTTTTATCGCATCCATAATATTTCTGTACTCAATCACGGCAAATCCTTTAAATGGCAAGTATAAAAATTGTTCTATAGGACCAAATTTCTCAAATTGAAACCTCACAAGATTTTCAGATGCTTCAGGGCCTAAAGAACCCAACCAGAGCTGTTTAGAAGCTGAAAAAATTTCCATGGCAGCAGGATCCCCATCAGCATACCAAATAATTTGACTTGTCGAAGAAGAATTAGCTGCTGCCAGATGATGTTTAGGAGATTCATAAGCATTATTTAAGCATCTGCTGGAGGATCTTGATGCAGGTAAACCAAGATCAACATTTGAAACCTGATTCTTGTCAACTTGGCCAAAGTAGTTCCTACTTTCAAACAAATTAGTCCTGAAGTCTAATGGCTTTCTTGTTACAGGTGAGAGCAACTGATTGTTCAACAGTTCCCTGGGAGTGGAAGATCTACCACGGGATAAATCTCCTTGCTCTCCTGTCTCAAAATCCATGGACCTTGAGCCTCCACTATCATGATTTGAACTTGAATTTGAGCGGCGATTGGGTTCAAGAGGAACTACCACACTGTGGGGCTTCAAATATTGACCTGAATATTTGTCTGCCAAATCATCATTACCAGATCCATTATAAACTCTTGAAGTACACTCCATTCCAGAAACTTCAGAAGATGTTTCCTGTTGATTAGAGATCTTAGGCACCAAATATCGTCTATTAATATATTTGGATGGATCATACTCATCCTCATCACTATCTACTTGACTGTCTTCTCCCTTAACCAACTCTGTAGAAGATCCCAATATCCCCTCTAGGACAGACATAAATTCTGATACAACTTCTGAAGATGCCGATCTGTGTAACTTCTTATACTTCAAAAATATCCAACTTCTCAATGAAGGGTTTTTGCCAATGACCTGCATGAACAAAGACCAGAGACAAGACAAAATAAGTGCAAGACCATATATATATATATATTAATAAGTCAGTTCAAGGCCATAATTAATAGCTTGATTCAACTCACACTGGTTCATACCACTAATTTAACAAGAAACCACAAATAGATCCTACTCGTTCTAGGACCATAAGTCCTACATTGTAAATGTATGCAAGGCATACACAAAAATGAGTGCACCATGATCATAAAACTGCATTTATCATATGTTCATCCCATAACAAAGAAAATGCTTCAATTATGAGTATTTCTGTAGTACTACAATACCATCTATATAGCAATTAAAATTCTAGATTCTATATAACATGGAGGTGGGCATCAATGCCGCCTAGCATCTTACCCTTGCAGTTTCAATTTCAAAAGGGCTATTATCCACATAGAATCAAAATCACCTTCGACTCAACCTCAAAGACACTAATACAGGAAACAAATAATTTTGTTTAGAAATCACCATAAAAAGCTAACCAGCCACAAATACACGCCTCCTTGGTCATATCCAACACACAAGTTGAAAATAATAATAATAATAATGAAAACTTCATTCTAAACACACGAGGATACTTTCACCAAAGACTATAAAAGAAGGTAATTTCAATAGATCCAGACATTAAAAACAGGCCTGCCAGAAATTCGTCCGATTAAGAAATTAACAAAGAGATGAGAGGCACACGACTAACTAAAATAGAGATCTTAATCTATTAGCCAAAAAGAATCTCTAATTAAATCAACAATCAGATACCCCTATGACTTCATATAGACAGAATAAAGAACTAAAATACTAGAAGTGATCACTGCAAAGTACATGCATAACATCCATTTAAGATCTGAAGCAACTCTTGAGTATTACCAATCCCAGCAAGCAGTTCTTTAGAACAGCATTCTCTGAAGCATGGTTGTCATCAGAAATTGGTTGCTCACTAATAACCTCATTGCCTTCGCTGCCTGTTTCAATAGATCCCGCGGATGGTTTAGGTTCATTTCTTGTGCTATTCAAATTATAAGCCACATCACCGGCACCAAGCTTGCTGGTCACCTGACAAAGGAAGTAACGTCCTTCTTTATCCGTTGCAGTGGAGTTAAGGAGTTCAAAACACGCAGCAAGTGAATTTTTTGGACAGCAAAAAAAAATCCTGAGAAGGCACAGTGAACGGAACTTGGATAGTTTTAGCACTGCAGAATCATTTTCATCTGATAACTTCTGCTTGAGCTCAGAAAAGATCTCAGCAGAATCTTGAATCACTAAAATTTCTCTATCAACAGTCTGAAAGATATCCTCTCCCTCTAAAGAAGATATGAAGAAGGTAAGAACATTTAAAAAAACAGCAGAACAGATTCCTCGGATAACAGATGATGTTGGTGCCTCCGCTGAAGCAGTGTGACAGATATCAGCTAGACCAAAAATGCAAGCTTTAGCAGTCTCAAATGCAACACCATCAGCATCCTCTCCTCTATTTATCACAGCCAAGCTCCAATTGTGCATATTAATAGTAACTTTAGCAGCAGCTTCAAGGGCAGTTGGACAGAACGATGCATATCGGGGGATGAGATCTGCTACAATCCGTTGTACACTTGTACAACCTACAAAGTCAGCAGCATCTTTAAAATCCAAAAAATGTTAAAATTCTGAACAGTAAGGATATATAGATTTTCTCTATCTTTCGCCAAAAACAAAAGGATGTAAAATCCTTTATGACTTGGTATCCTTTTGACAACACAGCAAGCACTTGCGAGCAATATACAAAACCTGTCAGTATAAGGATACAGGGCACTCTGTGCTTTTCTCGAAAGGAACACCTAGTTGTCATGAAGACAGTTCTTATATTTCATTGCTTCCACCTTATACTTTGCAATTTACTATAAAAATTAATAAGAAAAAAGAAGGCTAGAGCCCAAATGCACACTGATGGTGGTATGGATAAACTAGTAATACAAGGAAAGGTTGTCCAAGAAATATAAAAAAGAAAGACGTATCCTAGTTTCTCTAAAATAATCCTACCTAACATGTTACTTGGACCGAATAAATTTAAATAAACGACTGGGGTCTCTGCTGATAAAATTAATGATACAAAGAACTAGGCATAATGCAAGCCTCGAACCTGATCCAAAAAGGAAGGTGAAATTGCATAGAACATGCTTGTAAATCAGATAATGTAGCAAACACAAAGTAATAAAATGATGCAATCATCTGAATTTAAAAATATGAAACTAAAGGCATCCAAGACTGCAGCCCAAAAATCTAGGGAGTGAAATTGTGGAACAGTTTTTTATTTTTATTTTTATTTTTTTTATAATAAGTAAACCTTCATTAAGAAAGCTCAAAAGGGTGGACGCCCAAGGAAACAAATACAACCAAACAACTCAAAAAACCAAAGAATGCCTATACCATCAAGCTATCCACAAAATCTGCGATATCCTCCAAATATTTACAATCTCTCCCATGAACCCAACAAAAAAGAGTATAAGAAATGGACAATTTCAACACCCAAATGGGAGATTCCACCCCCATCAAAAGATCTCCTATTTATTTCACACCACAAACCCCACCCAATACATATAGGACCACTCTCCAAACATCCCAGGCAATCGGACCGACGATGCACCCATGACAAGCCTCAAATATGCTCCTCGAAGAGCCCAGAAAAACCTAATTAACACCAAAAAGGGACATGAACATATCCACACATCTTGAGCCATCAGACAAGGCAAGAGAAGATGATCGATCGACTCCTCATCCCTCTTGCACATGCAGCACCAATTCACCAAAGTTAGACGCCTCTTCCTCAGATTGTCGACTCTCAAGATCTTCCCCAAAACAGCCGTCCATCCAAAGAATGCAACCTTGGGGGGAGCTTTGGTGCGCCAAACTTCCTTCCAAGGAAAAGAAGCATAATTATCCCTCTAAGGAAAGGAAACAGAACTATCCATCCAAAGAGCAGTCCAGTTCTTCCTGCAGTCTAAACTTCCAAAGGTCATCAATTCTTCCTTCATTTGTCTCATCCCAAAGAAGCACAACTCGAGTAAAAAATTGGCAAATAGGCTAAGTACCTTGCTTAATGATTTGGTGGGTTCAGAACAGGATGCCTTTATAAAAGATAGAAGCATCCATGATAATATCAGTACAATCCATGAATTGATCAGGGGATCTAATTTCAACAAGATTCATCCATCGCTATCAAAATAGACCAAATGAAGGCCTATGACTCAGTCTCGTGGTCTTTCTTGTTTAACTCATTACAATCTTTACATATTTGGGCAGAAATGGATTGGTTGGATTAAAGAATGTGTCACTGCAACTTCATTTTCTATCTTGATTAATGGCTCCTCCGCTGGCTTCTTTCAACCTCAGAAGGGCCTGAGACAAGGGTGCTTCCTTTCTCCTCTATTATTTACCTTGATTACTGAATTCTTCTCTACTATGGTTCAAGAGGAAGTCAATGAAGGCAGATTTAAGCTGTGTCATACTCCTCAGAAGGTGGGGTTTTGAGCTTTTTCATAATTTCTTGGTCAATGACTTAATTGTGATCACCAAGGAAAACATGAGAATAGCTAGGTGTATATCGTCTTTGCTAACTGAATTTCATTCTATTTCTGGGCTGGCTGTTAGTCATGAGAAAGTCAAATATTCTTATCAAAATCTGTGAGGAGGCACAGAAGATTGATTAGGATCTTAAATATAAAAGTGGGATCCTCCCCTATCACATATTTTGGCTTGCCAATGATAGAAAGGAGCCTCAAGCCAGGGGCGGAACCAGAAATTTTCCACTGGGGGGCCAAATTAGTAATGTAAAATTTAAATTTGAAAATAATATAAAATCATTGTAATTTTTTTTTTTTTGGGTGCATTTTAGGATGTTATTATAAGGATTACTATAATAATTAATAATTTTCTTTACTAAATTTGATTGGTTCATTGGATTTGAAGGGCTTACAAGAAATTTCATTTGTAAACCACCTTTAATAACTATAAAAATCACCATTAGTAACTACTGAAGATTTAATGGAGGAATCAGTGGAGAAAAATCCTCCTTGTTTCCTATTTTCTATCTCTTCCCACTCATAGTTTCTTCTCCTATATAAAGGAGCCTCCACCATTGTATTGTGTATGAATTGAGAGAGTATTATAAAAGTGATGTAACCCTTTGGGCTCTTTGTGCCGTGGATGTAGGGCCTAGTGGCTGAACCATGTAATATCTGTGTGTTCTACTTGTTTTATTTATCTCTTCGCTTCCGTTTTATTTATCTCCATTGCTGGTCTTCTGCCAGCCTATGCGTAGCAGGTAGAGTGGAATTGATTAGGTCTTCTCTTTTATACTACTAGTGCTCAACTTTCAAAATTCCAGCATATACCAGCTCAGTTGTAGATAAACTGATGAAATCCTTTGTTTGGGGAAACAAAGAGAATGGGAAGAGAATCCACCTGTTGAAATGGAATTATGAAACTAGACCTAAGGATGAAGGAGGATTTGGTATAAGGAAAATCATAGGAATTAACATGGATGCTAAAGATACTCTGTTCTGGGACTTTGTTCAAGACAAAAACAGATGATGGATTACCTGGTTTAAGGCCATCAAAAGCTGCTAATCCTTCTATATGGTGTTATACTCCTAAGTCGAAGTTCTTTTCGTTCTGGAATCATCTGTTGGAAGTGAGGGAAATTAAAATTGCAAATACATCCACTAGAGTGGGGAATGTTAGAGGTTGAGACTGTTTATGGATCCTTGGTGGAATGGGTCCACTCTTTTGCAAGTTTTTGGTCAAAGAACTAGAAGACAGTTGGATCTTCCTAACTATGCATTTATAAGTACCTCGGTTCACAATGTGCATGGTGCAAACCACTTCACATGGATCCTGGAATAGAAATTTGGAATCAAATCTCCTCAATTCCTGTATCTTCAAGTAATGGCCATTTCTGTGAAAAAATGGAAACTTTAGCTTCAAATATGTCTGGAAGAATGGTAGACATCCCAACTCTAAAAAGGATTGGTTTAGATTATGTTGGACCATAGGAAGACCAGCTGCATATTTCACTTCTTGCCCCATCCTATTGGACAGAATACCCTCATTAACAAACCTTCAGAAGAGAGGTCTGATTGTAATTCCTATTTGTCATAATTGTATGCAAGCTGTAGATATAGACTTATAGTAGATCATCTCTTCTTTGCTTGTAAGTATGCTCAGATGATGTGGATAAAGATCGGTGAAATTTTACAATGGAACAGGATCAATATTCAATCTTTAAATCAAGTGGTATAATAGTTTATTGCTCAGTTCAATCGAAAAACTCAAGAGGCATGAATTCTGTAGACAAAGTTTTACTGCTACTTTGTGGAACATTTGGAGATCCAGAAACCAAAAACTCCATAATTGCTCTGCTCCTAGTCCAGACTAAGTTGTTAGATTGATTGTTTGGGAGGTTTGTGATGCTTTGGGCTTGAGGACTGCTGACATTCATAATGTCTTGTCTAAGCTGATTTAGATTCAAAAGTGAATAGCTGCTGGATTGCTTGGTGGTGGTTTATGCTGGAATTCTGTTTATGGAAACCAAAGTGAGAACTAGGCTTGGAGCTTAGATACTGTTTGCTTCTTCAGTGGATGTGTAGCCATCATCAGCTAAAATGGTCATTCACTTTCCATTTGTTGTATGGGCGTCCTATATTTTGGCATAAGCCTGTTTTCAGTTGGTGGTCTTCCCTTTGGTTGGTAGAGTTTATTCCTTCCAGAATATATTCTTCTAGTTTCGGTGCTTGTTGGTTTTTGCTTTTTTCTATTTGCTGGATTTTCCTTTAGCCTTGTACTGTTTTGTTTTGTTAATAAAAAGTTTGCTTGGGAAAAAAAAGGCAATAAACTTACTAATTAAGTACGATTACTAATGGAAGCTAAATATATCAAATGGAGTGCATATTAGGGTGTATTGACATATACTTTTAATAATGAAAGGAAAATTTTAATATATAACCATCAGATCAGTCATCCTTTGAAATAGAATGAGATAAGCACGACCGAGATGTGGAAGTTGATATGAATGCTCAGTAAGAAAAGACAACATACATTTGTGAGTTGATTGAGGTGGCACTCATTTTTGGAACCGAATTCTTTTGGGATTTAAAATTGGAATTGGAAAAGAAATTGGATTGTAATTAAAATTCCATTCTATTTGCACGTTCAGAATAAACTAGAATTTGTAAAGGAACTTGAAAGGAAATAGATTTTGTACCATTTAAGAATGGCAAACGTGAAAATTGTGAAAAAAAAAAAAAAAAAAACGTGAAAATTGTGAAAAAGATTTGTAGAATGAGAGACGTGAAAGTGATTTGTAGAAGGGTAATTTTTATTTTTATTTTTATTTTTTGATAAGTAAAATGTATTAGAAGGCGTTCAAAAGGGGAACGCGTCCTGAGCTATACAAAAACTGAAACTATGATCTCAAGGAGCCCAAAAAGGCCACAATATCGTCAATGGAGGAAAAATCTCTCCCCCAACCCCAACAAAAAAGAGTACAAATAATAGAGAATTTCAACACCCCAATGGAGGACTCCTTCCCATTAAAAGATCTTCTATTCCGCTCTTTCCAAATGCTCCACCAAACACAAAAGGGGGTTACCCTCCAGAAGACTCTCGCCTGAGCCCCACCCATTGGCCCCTCCAAATATCCAGCAAATCCCGAAATGTCCGAGGCATAACCCAATGAATACCAAACAAATCAAAAATGAGAGATAAGTAGTTATTTTCCAAATCCCCTCAAATTCTCTCAATTGCTTTTAGGATTTCTCAACCTTACAATATTTCCTTTGGAATCCCTTCAAACCCCATTCCTTTTAATACCCCATTCCCTTTTAAAATCCTATCGTTCCAAACAAGTGAAATTCCTTTTGAAATCCAACTCCTATGAAATCATGGGGTTCCAAACATAGTGTAAATAAGAGAAATCAACTTAAATGATTAGGCCATGTGCACAAAAGATCAATACTACACTGTTGAAGAAGAGTTACATAATCCACATTAATAGTAAGACTAAGGGAAGGGAAAATTTAACTTGGTCTTAGATAGTAAGAATATATATGACAGCATGTGATCTAAATGAAGATATGGATTAGAAAGAATGCAATGGCAATACATGATTTGTGTACCAAAATCCAACTAGTTGGATTAAAGCTTGGTTGAGTTGGGCATGTTGTTGCTCCATTGCCTCATTAGGCTCATTCAATTAGATCAATGGTAGTCTTTTAGTTTGCTATCATGATTGCAAATTCTGTAGTTCACTGAATTATTTCTACAACTATAGTCACTATATTGAGTTCTAGGTATTAGACCGATGCTTTATCATGGTTATTCCAGACATTCAAGTATAAGTTACAAAATATATCTAACAAGTATGGATAACAGCTCTCTATCTAAGTAGATGGACACTTTTTCGTGGTCACGTCTTCAGAGGGACTAAGTTGAGAGTACATGCCTAAACATATACTAAATCTTTTACAAAACGTTGATATCACAAATATGGATAACCAAGGTTATGCATGCCACAAAACTTATTAATTTTCCAAGAAATATAGCTGAAAGAAATATAGAATGAAAGCAGAAGCATCAGTAAACTAGGCAGTATCATGGTTTCTTAAGGTTAAGTTGAATGACATTTGTTGAATTTCATTTCTAATTTTGCAATTGTTGGCATAGATATTAGTCTATTAGATAACTCAACTAAAATCATATAGAATTCAATTGCATTTATAAGAATATACATACGTTATCATGTCAAGCCTCCTGGTTTATCAAGAGTTTCCATGTTAGCATACTTTCATGTTGTGTAGATTACAAGTCCTTATACATGCTATATAGGTCTCTATACGATTTTTTTTCTCAGCAAACTTGTGCTACTTTGCACATATGGGTTTGACAATGTTTACTAGTTCATGCATTAAAATCAACAAATGATAGCCAAGGCTGGACATAAAAGCCTTATCGGATTAAGTAGAAGAACTCCCTTAGTTTAATTTAAGTAATTTTCAGAATTCCTAACAGAGGAATAATTTATTGCTGATCTAGAACTCTAAGTTTTATTAGGGTTATTTCTAATTTTTCTCGACAGTAAGAACTCACCATCTAGCTTCCTCAAACACCATTCTGTTTAGAAATATCTTAATAATGATTAGAAGGAATAATCTTTTATTCAATCTATACATTCTCTAAGTTTTAGACAATCCCAATAGAGATCTGTCCCACATTGTATTTGGTGGTGCATCTGGAAGGAGAGAAATAGTAGAATGTTTGAAGGGAAGGAGTCGTCTACAACGACACTGAAACTTTTTATTATTCGTTCTCTCTTTAATTATGTGAACAGGAGTTCTTGTTCCTCTTCTGATGATTTAATTTCTTTTTTGGATTCATTAGGGCCTTAGACCCCGGTTTCTCTAATGTTCATGGGACGCGTTCCCCTATTGAATGCCTTTTTTAATTTATTATTATTTACAAAAAAAAAAAGTTCTAGACAATCCCAAGTATTTCGATTTTCTCTTTCCTGGAAGAGCCATTTCAACTACTGGTCATAAAATAATCTAAAACATCCTTATTTTCAATCTCTAGCTTAATTTAAGTCTTTAAAGCACCAATCTGAACCTCTAAAGCCCTTACTCTACCAGTGCTAATTAATTAGTAAATTACAAGAAATATAATTCCATACAATTACAATCCGACTTTTTCCATTCCCATCCGTTAATCCTAGCCTCATGCCCCTTGCCATCACCTTAACTTGATCACCTACAATCTTGCCCGTTTAAAAATTAATTAACATTTCTATCATCATTTTTTAGGTTGGCCTGCTATCAAAATGATGTCAGAGTTTAGTTTTCCTAGCTTCAAAATTATGCGGTGGAAAACAAAGGCCTGAATTGAAGGAAGTTCACCAACAATAGAAAAGATGATTGATTTCCTCTCAAAATGGGTAAACTTGTGGGTGTTACCAATGTTCATCCAGCTTTCTTTTCCCTTGTTTACCTTCAACTTGTTGGCACCATCACGTGAAAGGTGACAAATTGAACAAGAATTAGTATGAACTCGATGATGATAGTTACATAAAGAAGGAAAAGTGTACAAAGCCAGGATAATAATTCACTAACAAAAGCGGGCAGGTAATAAGGAGTCCAAATCCTAGAACAAATTCACATGTGATGTTAGGGCTTTCGGATTTCAAAAACAACTTCTTGTGATCATCCTTACAAGTGTCTAAGTGCTCTTACAGAAACCAACATGACATAAGCATTATCGTCATCACATCATCTTGAGTTTTATGTAAGGCGCATAACTCACATTCTTCAAAGGACTTCATAAAATGTTAGAAAAAGGGTTTCTTTGATTTCATTACTCTGATTACCATAGAAGATATCTTAATCCCTCTCACTTTGCAATTAATAGTAGACTTTGTTACAGAATTTTGGCACTGGAAGACACAAATAATGTCTATAGATAAAAGGGGGCATTTTATTTTCTCTTAATTCTCTTTTCCTCAATGTTTAGGCAACCAAGCATTATTATTACTATTGTTATTTTGGTGGGTGTTTGTGGGTTGCAAAAACCCCATGAGTCATGAGTATCACTTCCAACACAATGAAGCTAACCAGAAAATAAAAAATCAAAATTTCTAATACAGTAAGATGGAATGAGGAAAGAAAACAAAAAATCCCTTTTCGGGTATTAAAAAGAAAACACGAGATCATACAAGATAAAGGTGGATTCAACCGCAAGAGAGTAAAAATTCTGACCTCTAGAAGCAGTGATGAAAGAAAGGTAGACCTGTTCGAGGTCTGACATGAGACGGGCGTCTTTCCGAGAGACACAGAATTTGATTCGCTTGTAACAGTCGTATAAGCTTCGAATCTCTTCCCTGTTCCTCCGTCTTCTCATAATTTCTTCCTGTGGAAGCGGTGGAGCTACGAAGCTCTGGTGGACGGTTTGGGGTGGTTGTGAGGGTGTAATATGCAGCGGCAGTGGTGGTTCAGGAAGCGGCTCGTAAAGCTTTCGCTTCTTCAGAGGTTGCTCCGCCGAAGCCATGGCGCAGAGGGAGAGAGAGAGAGTCAGAAAAGTGTCACGCAGTCGCCTCCCCCTTTCGGCTAATGGATTTTCACTAACCGAATTTATCTTTTATTCTATTTTCAATTTTTGGGAGAAATTGAGTAAATTAAACCAACCACCCTGAGGTTTGTCATACTCTCACACAAATATATAATTTGATTTTAACGCCAAGAATTAATCTCTTACCGGTCACGTGCAAATTGTAACAACACCAAGAATTACATAAAAAGATTAAAATACCCCTTAAATGACTTATAAATTTACAATCATATCATTTCTTGGATTCCTTGCATTTTGTATATGTTTGATTAAATATTTAATTATTATATACATATTTAATACGGTTAAAATCATAAAACCCCTTATACCATTTCAAAACGTCACATAACTTTTTTATACTAACAAATAATCCACAGAGCTAGTAAATGTAATCATTTTACCCTCATTTCGTAACGTTGTTAACTGACATGTGAAATGACAAAATTGGTCTCCATAATTAAAATTATAAAAACCTCCTATACTATTCAAAATCAGGCATATAACTCTCTTTACTAAGAAAAATATCTAAAAACTTCACTAATATTCAAAAATCCATCATATCACCCCAACTTGTATTATGTAATTAAAGTTTATAAATTTTAAGCATAATGGTAATATAATTTTCTGTATAATGTTAATTTTAGTATGTGCATATATATCTTAAAACAATATAATTTTAAAATAAGAAAGTGCAACCTAAATAAATATATGAAAAACTAATACGAGAAAGAAAATAATTTTTATTATAGCAATTGTTTCAAATTTTTAATAATTTTAATTTTTAAAATTTTTTGAATACTTTGATTCGACTTTGGTAAAGATATATTATTATTACTTTAATGATTTTTTTTTAAAAAAAATTAATTAAACAAATGTCACATACCTTGTGGACTTTGTATGTTGATATTGGGAGATACTCAAGGGTTTTGTTATTTTGAAATGAGGGTTCAGCTCTCGAGGTGAAACTTGGTTGCAACTTCCCTCCATTGCTTGCTCAAACCTATTCCTTTCGCCCAATTCAGTGAGGGCTAAGCCAAGGCTTGTAGATAGGTTTTTGGGGGGTGCTAAGGTAAGTAAGGTGGTAGGATTGGACTTGGCTAGGCTTAGGCTCTCTCTCACAATTTCATCGAATAGTTGCGACGGGTTAGTAGCCCAAGAATGACTATTTATTATTGGTGCATAGCATGGCTATGTGACTGGGAGTATGGGTTTGTTCTGAGTTTTATCGCATTTGTTGATTTCGAATTTAATTTTCAAGTTAGCATTCATGTGTTAAAATTGCAACTTGTGGTTCAACTTCTTTTCATTATAAGTGCACATGCTTGCTTATAGTGAAATGGTTGCATTATCGTTACATGATAGCTTAAGATGCTCCCTTTTTATGTTCCATTAAGATTAGACGTTAGGAAGCATGTCCCTTGCATTGCTTAGCCATATTATGGTTTTAGGATTCGAGGAAACATAGTTTATCTTCATACCACATTCCTTACGGAGTATTATTTGCTCACACCCATTTATATATCTTTTTCAAGAAAGGGTATCACCCTTGAGGATCCCCCTCGATCTTTTCCAGCTTAGTTGGAGCCTTGATGACATTTTTAGACTTATAGTTGTTATTTTTGCCATGCTATGTGTAGCATGTTTTGGCCATGTATGTTTAGCTTGGACATATATCTATTTCAGATGATTGTATTATTTGAAGAGGGAAATGGCTCGGGAACTCACTTGCACCTTTTGGAGTTCCTGAGTGATTTCTACTCCATCCTTCATGTATTGATACTTGGATAAATGATGTAATGAGGCTATAAGGCCAATTTTATTTCAATGTATTGTTTCTTCCTTAATTTGTACTCCTTTCATGTATGCTTGCACACACTCATTGGTTCACAATTACCATACCATGACATAAGTGACTTGAGTTGGTTAGACTCATCATTTTTTACCTCTTAGACATGCCTATGTATATATTAGGATGAGTTTTTGGCTTAGGACCTTGAAAAAGGTCCATTCTAGCTAATCTATAAAGTTTCGGTCGATTGGTTGGAGATAACGGCCGACCGTTATCTCAAAATAATTTAGACAATGAGCATGTATTTATAGGGTTGTTTTGACTAACCGATAAACTACCTTTGACCGACCAGTACAAGGCCATCGGTTGACCCCATCGGCCGACCGGTTTGAGGCATGTTGGCCAATTGATTTTGGACCCTTGTGGGTCCCTTCCTGAGCTATTCCATGGCTAGTATGGGTTTCCTGGAGACCATATTTAATGTCTTATAGGTTTTAATCACCTTAGTTGATGGCATCTCTTTTATAGCTTCTGCATATGGGACTCGGATTTCTGGTTAGGTTTGGTTGTATCGATTCATGCATCGGGTCACTAGGATTCGGGGCATGACAATGTCTCTCTCTTTCTCTCACTCATATTTAAATCTAATTTGTAGATCCTGTAGTCTTTTACCAATTATAGGTTTGACAATTTTTATTTGGTTGGTAGGACAACATAGAGTTCAAAATTCTAAGGTAGTGAGTATCTCTTATGAGTTACAATAGTCTAATCTCATTAGGAACACATCTCATTATATTGGAAAGTACAAAAGACTTGAATTTAAATCACATCTGGTTTCTATAATATTTTTATATTATGCTGCTCCAAATCTATTAAGTGAAATAATTGTATTCTCTTAACACTTGTACATCTGTATAATGTAATAATTTTATTCTTTTAACACTCATTTTTAAACTTGTGCTTTAAATAAAGTATTTTCTCCTTCTCAACAATCTGTCACAAGGGAAAACAAAGTTAAACCGACAGCCATCAAAATCTTAAAGGTCTGAATTTGATGACAAACCACTATAAAATCATGTAAAGGTTCTTACGATACCAACACGTGGAGGTGGAAACCTAATTTGGTGTTGCAATTACTATTAACAAAAAAAGTCTATACGATCATATTCAAAAGTCAAGGGTCATTTATTGAAGATTCTCAATCAAGGGATTGAAACTTGCAAGTATATATGTAATTATCCATTTCAAGTATTAAAGAAGGAATGTGAGTAATCGGAAAGGAATAAGGCTCAAGAAGAATTGCATGTAAGAAAGGAGGAAGATTATTTGTCCTTACCCGAAGGATCAGATTTGCTGCAATGCAAAAAAAGAAAGGCATTAACTCTAAGAGCTCTAGAAAATGCACTTAATGTAGCACAAAGATATATAGTAGGCAAACAAGAAGCTCACTTGTTCTATGTGTCTACCTTATCTTTCGACTTCGCAACGTACCATCACTTTAGAAAACATTCACTCACATTAGCCAACAACAAGTTATCAAGTTATACTCCTCCAACGTTTGACAAATTACTAATAACATTGCTAGCCTAAGAGAAGACATATGAATTAAAAGCTCTAAACGATAAAAGATACTTAGAAAAATAAAGACATGTCCCTTTGTTCAGATGGGTGGTTAGATAGACAAATAAGGCGACTGATAAACTTAATGGCTACATTAGTAGGAGGTGTAATGTTCTTGAAAGCGGTTGATACAAATGCTATCATAAAGGATGTTAAAATGTAGCATATCTATTTATACCCGTGATCAATGAAGCGGGAGAACAAAATGTTATTTAAGTGATTATTAATAATGGGAGTAACTTTAATGCTTCATTTGGTAAGAAGGAAGGAATGACGAGGGGTGGAGGGAAGATAGGATGGAAGAAGCAAACTTCCTTCGTTTAGTTATGAGGAGGCAAGGAAGGAAGAGAAAAGAGGATGAATGAGTCATCCTTCCTCTTTCACAAATTTTCTTCCCTCCAAATATGGGGGGAAGATAGGAAGGAAGAAAGGCAAGCCATTATAAAAGTTTTTAAATTGCAAAATTATCCTTATAATTATTTGATAAACACAAACTATCCTACATAATTATTATGGTCGTAAAATATCATTTCTCACGCCACTCACATAAAACCCTATAATTATTACGTGGGAAAAATTTCATCTCTTGCGCCACTTACACAAAACTTTACAAGCAATTGATTGCTTCTATATAAAACTCTATTTTTTAGAAAAATGTTGCTAAAAACAAAATAATTCATCTTTAGGCAAGTATCTCTCTACTTTATGTTCTTATTCAATTATTATTATTATTATTATTATTATTATTAGGATAAATTACACTCACACCCCCTAAGGTTATGTCATATTTCAGTTAGATGAAGATTTTGGTTTTAATTTTCACTTACACCCCAATTGACTTTTTGCCTACGAATTAACCCTTTTACCCTCAAATTTTTAATATAAAATATATATAATCTTAAATGACAAAAAAGACCGTCTCTCTCTCTCTCTATATATATATACACACATTATTTGTACACTTAGTCCAGAGACCACCAACTCATCTATGTTCCCTAGTAATCCTAACCATCCAAACCATTGTTATACGTACAGCTACAAAAAATAAAAATAAAATAAAAATTTGCTTTTCAGTGGTAATTACAAGCAGGAGGACATCAACCACCACCCAAAACCTCTATTTACTGATTAACACACCAAACCCGTAACCACCACTACCTATTACCCCATTCCAAATCGGCAACTAAGTAACACATCAAACCCATAACAACCACCACCTTCAACCAAAACCGTCACTGCTCCTCCACCCATCAACCACCCAAAACCTCCATAATCACCACTCATCCCTATCATAAAGCCAACCCTAGTTTAAAAAATAAAAAATAAAAAAAATACCCATCAAGTTCTCTGCCAACCCAAACCCAATTTCTCAACACCAACACCACCCTTCCCCGTCTTCTAGACCCATTGCCCATCATCAGCTGAGCAACGCTGCCTTTCAATCCCACCAAGGTAACAGTCTTCCAAGCTCCAACCATCGCTGACATCACCCCGTGAGCCAACCTTGTCACCACCGCCCGCCAGATCCATTAGCGCCAAGTCCCCTCTTGCTCACCCGTTGGAATCCTCTCTGGTCCAACGATCAGACCTTGCTCGCCGTCCCTTAACA